AGTAGTAGTAGTAGTGGTAGTAGTAGTAGTAGTAGTAGTAGTCGTAGTAGTATGCTTTTGATTAGTATTATTCCTCTTCGATGGTATCAGCTCGCTCAGCCAGCAGTCGCCACATGCCACCCCGCCCGCCGGCCAGCTCGGACACCCCCACACTATCGGAGCCCGCCCCCCTCGCGATCTGGCCCCCCGCGATCGCGCAGGGCAGCCTCGTCCCGCCACCCCACCATGACGACGACGACGACGACGTAGACAGGCGACGACAAGGACACAAGGACGACGACGACGACGACGACGACGACGAAGGCGGTGGCGATGGCGGCTCCCCACGCGATAGGCGCGTCACGCGCATCATCGAATCATCCGCGGTATCCATCTGAGTTTACCAGAAAGACTCCGACAGAATACTTACACCGATCTTAGCCACGCCCATCGTGAACCCAGGAGCGGTGTATACGTCCTCCTGGCTTGGGCGGGAGGGCATATGCAACGATCTTGGACCAAAAGTGTGCCTGGCCAATATCGGTGTAGGTGTATAGTTGTCGCCCTCTGGTTTGCCGTGCGGACGCGGCCGCAAGAACCTTAAAAACCCTGGCAAGGTGCACCTGGAGGGAAAACTGGAGCACCCTGGACGCACCAGCTTCGTTAACGGCCGCGGGAAGTCACCGCGCAACGCGCGGAGCCAAGACACCCAGGGCACACTGACGAGAAGCGTTCAGTTTCTTGATGCGCGGCCCTACTGGACGCCGTCTCGCACGAGCAACGGGCATATCCACATCCGACACCTCGCGGTCTGGACACGAAGGCGAGATGCGACGGACACACAATCCCACGGACTTGCTCCGCGCGGGACGTCCGCACCGATCCCCCCCCCGCCTCCCGCAAGGGCGGGCCGGGGCCGACGAGTTCGGACTGCGGGGCCGCGGGGATGGACACTCTGGATGGGGTAAGTGTCAGGGGGGGTGATTGACCTCCCGACTGAGCTTGCCCAACCCCACCACCCCCTCACTCCCCCTCCTCCTCCTCGTCCCCCTCGTCCTCCAGCCCCACCTCCACCACTTGCGACAGCACGTGCCCGTTCCCCCCCCGAGGGCCCAGGGGGGGGATTGTACCCCGGCCACAGCACTGCCATCCCGCGTGCGACAACGAGGAGCACCGAAAAAAAGGACCGAGGAGGTGTTCTGGCCACGGCAAATCCTGGCCACGAGCAGGCTCCCCAGGAGGAAGAGGAGGAGGAAGAGGACGAGGGGGAGGGGGGGAAGGGGGAGGACGAGGAGGACGAGAAGGAGGAGGAGGAGGAGGAGGACGGGGAGAAGCATGAGGATGAGGAGGTTAGGTTAGGAAAGGCAGGGTAAGGTAAGGTACGGTAAAATGAGGCAAAGTAAAGTAAGGTCAGGTAAGGTAAGGTAAGGTAAGGCAAGGTAAGGTCCGGTAAGGTCAGGTAAAATGGGGTAAAGTAAGGTAAGGTAAGGTAAGGTCAGGTAAGGTAAGGTAAGGTAAGGTAAGGTAAGGTAAGGTAAGGTAAGGTAAGGTAAGGTAAAGTAAGGTAAGGTAAGGTAAGGTAAGGTAAGGTAAGGTAAGGTAAGGTAAGGTAAGGTAAAGTAAGGTAAGGTAAGGTAAGGTAAGGAAAGGTAGGGAAAGGTAAGGAAAGGTAAGGAAAGGTAAGGAAAAGTAAGGAAAGGTAAGAAAAGGTAAGGAAAGGTAAGGAAAGGCAAGGCAAGGCAAGGCAAGGCAAGGCAAGGTAAGGTAAGGTAAGGTAAGGTAAGGTAAGGTAAAGTAAGGTAAGGTAAGGTACGGTACGATAAGGTAGGGTAAGGTAAGGTAAGGTAAGGAAAGGTAGGGAAAGGTAAGGAAAGGTAAGGAAAGGTAAGGAAAAGTAAGGAAAGGTAAGAAAAGGTAAGGAAAGGTAAGGAAAGGCAAGGCAAGGCAAGGCAAGGCAAGGCAAGGTAAGGTAAGGTAAGGTAAGGTAAGGTAAAGTAAGGTAAGGTAAGGTACGGTACGATAAGGTAGGGTAAGGCACTTGGGGACATGAGCCCGCAGCAGCAACAGCAAATTCGGGCTCTCCGAGCCCCCTTTGCGACGGGACACTTGGGCAAAACCCCCTTGTCCAAGCCTGCGCGCGGGAGCGGACGGCGGGGCTCAGGCCGTCGGCCCGCTGCCGCCACGCGGGGAGGGGGGGGGGGGGGCACCCCCGGAACAGCACAAGCTAAGGGGGGGAGCCGTCGCCTCATCACGCGAGGGTCGAGCCCCCCTTGGCTGAATTGCACGGGTGTGGGAGGAGGAAAAAAAAAGACGGGCGACGGCGGCGTCTGGGGCGGCTGCGGGGCCCTGGAAATTGTTGAACGGGCGCCCGCCGCACGGGAGCGCAAGCTCTCCGCTCCCACCTCCCCCGCGCCTGCCGACAGTCTGGCTCTGGTGCACCCCGTGGCCGAAGTATTGGCTCACCCCTGTCGGTGCTAGCCGCTAATTGATTTGTATTATTAAAATGAGTAGTCGTATTGTTCCTACGAGTATTAATAGTCGCATTATTATGATTAGACCTCCCAGTAGTATCCCCAACGCCTCGTGCATCTTCCGTCGTGCCATGTATGCCCACGCATTGCCCTGCAGGCTGCAGATAGCGAGCCGACGTCGTCACACTGCGTGCGACCAAACAGGCGCAGTAAGTGGGGCGGCTGCGCTCTTCTCGTCCTGCTGCGCAGTAGTCTCGCCGCTCAGGCCATGGAAGCTTTCTGCGGGGCGTTCGGTGGGAAGGCATCCTCAAGGCGGCTCGTCGCGGCTGCATCTGGCGAACTCATGTGGTCGAGCTTCTCTTCGAGCACCTTGGTATTCTACAGCAGCATAGCCATATGCTGCGGCGGGGGGGGCTGCTGTTTGTACCCGTGCCTTGCCCACCGCCTGCATATAGGCACTGGTATTCCTCTGGATCGATACACTTCGTGGGGTCCTCCTGCTGCCAGCCGTAGTGAACCCACGTGCTCGAGTCACTTTGCTTCCACGGCGGCGGGTAGGGGGGTGGGCTCCACTCGTCCGGATCGTCCGCACCTCTTCGCCGTTCTCTTTGATGAACTGCGCCTGCTCGTCGCCCTGCGGCTCCGCATAGTCCCTGACGGGGCATAGTACTCGGTGTCGTCGTTGATCGTCGCCGTGAGCAGGCCGAGGGTCTGCGTCATCGTCTGGCTCGCCGTCCCAAGCGCGCTGACCTGGTGCCCCAGCTGAAAGTAGTACTCCTCCTTGGCGATATCCTCTGCCACCGTGTTCGACGTGCCCATCTTCGCGCGCACCATGGAGATTGAGTGCATGCGCCTGTGGTCCGTCATGGTCTCCAGCTCACGCCCGATGCCCGTCACGACCGTCTTCAGCACGTGGTCCGTGTTCTTCAGGTGGGCCTCCGCCCTATTCAACGCGTGGTCGATGTTGACCACAACCGTTCCCCCCTCGCCGCCATAGTAGGCGCTTTGCTCTCTGCTGGTCGCCGCGCCCCTCCGCGCGTAGTCGCACGCACCTCCTGCATGGATTCACGAATCCGTTTCTTGTCGCCGCCCTAGTTCGAGCCTGAATGGCTGGAGTCGGATCACATTGTTTGGTTGGCAATTGTTTATGGTCGCAAACGCACGAGTCGCTGGGGCTCTTAGGGGCCCCGAACCTTCGGAACCCTTAGCCGAAATGGCTCTGGAGACCTGGGGCCCCGTTACGTGTTACTCTTGACCGTATTCTGCACACGGTAGTCTTCATAGCCAGATCCTACACGTGGCAAATAGTAATGCCACTACGCTGCACAAGTCTTGGGCAGTACCTGATACATGGCTCTTACTAGGTTTCACGTAAGCTTTGCTGTCTCGTTTTTCGGTTCCTAGGCTACTTGGCTTCTTGGGAGACGGGAACGCAGGTTCCTAGTATGACTCATCACTGTTTCGACCTGCTGCCCCTTCCTCTTCCAATGCGGCATCTTTTGTTGCGTGATCTCCCAGGGACATCTGATTCGGACGTCTGTTGTTTAGATCATCCGTAGTACCCTCTCAATTGACAGAATGCTCGTCCGAGTGATCTGGATATGTTCCCACATGAAGTGAATGACGCGACTACGAAAGCGGATAATCGTCAGGCTGACAAAGTGGGTCGGGTTCACTGAACGAGCAATCAATAGCTCTCTTGCGCTGCACGATCCTTCCCTGCTGATAGAGGGAGGAGGAGGAAGAGGAGGAGGAGGAGGAGGACGAGGAGGACAAGGAGGAGGAGGAGGAGGAGGAGGAAGAGCCCAGCCTGGTCCTTCTGCTAGCGTTTCGGCTGTGCTTGCTTCTCGCCGACGGGCATCTCTCTCGGAGCGGGCCCGGCAACTCAACGTCGATCAACGGAGTCTTCCCAGAGTCCAAACGCGCAAGTTTCACGACTTGCGTCCAGCCATGGCGACAAGGGGGCCCTCCGAAGGCCGACGACCGTTATCTCAACGCGCCTCCTCTGAGAGGTGAGGCTGGAGCATCCCAAAGATACCCATACCGCTACGCCCGGGACCTCTCCCCGGGTGCGTTCTGACCAGAATCTCGAGGCGAATCCAGCCGTGGCGACGACGGCATCCCAGGAGGCCCAAAAAATGAAAACTAGGGAAAGGTAGCTCCTCCTCCTCCTCCTCCTCTCCCTCCTCCTCCTCCTCCTCCTCCTCCTCCTCCTCCTCCTCCTCCTCCTCCTCCTCCTCCTCCTTATCATCTCACACAAACGCCAACATAGGTTCAAGATCTGCGGATCAGTGACGTGGGCGTGGGGGAACAGAAACAAGTATCATTAATAGTCGGCCGAGCCACCCACCCGATGGCGAAAAGCCACATCGATGTCGACACATTCCAGGCGCACTATATTCGCAGCGCGGTTGGTTGCGCTCGGCACCCGATGGTTCAGATGCTACGCGGACATGTCCATTCCCTGCAGCGGCCGCGGCCACGCCCTGCCTACGCGTGCCTGAACAACACCGCCAGCTTGCGGTGACGGAGTTCGCGGGCGAGACTGGC